TCTTGGTAACAGCAGCCAGGAAATCAGGAGACAAGTTGCATTGGGAAAATCAGCTGTGAGGGACCTCTCAAGAGTACTGACATGCAACGATGTCAGGCTGGAGACTAAGGTGCGCCTGATCCAGGCTATAGTCTTTGCAATTACATGCTATGCATTGGAGAGTTGGACAGTGAATAGGGATGATAGAAAGAGAATTGATGCTTTTGAGTTGTGGTGCTGGAGAACAGTGTTGAATATACCATCGACTGCTAGGAGAACAAACAAGTTTGTCCTGGAGAAGGTGAAGCTGGAATGCTCCTTGGAGTCAAGGATTCTGAAGCTTCGTCTGACATACTTTGGGCATGTTGCAAGGAGGGGCTGGTCCTTGGGGAGGGACATCATGTTTGGCAGAGTGGAGGGGAAGCGAAGGAGAGGAAGACCCTTGATGAGATGGATCGATTCTGTGATTGGAGCGCTGGGAATAACTGTGTTTGAGATGGCTGGGTTGGCACAGGATAGAACAGTGCTTAGAGCTCTTGTACACAGGGACGCTATGAGTCACAAACAACTTGATGGCACATAACAACAATTTTACTCAGCTCTGTATAATTCTAGTATCATTAAACTTACTAGTTTCTAGTCTTAAAATTTTTTTAAAGTTATGGAAACATGAAACTAAGCTATGTAAGAAAACTGTTAATAGAGTTGGTTCCTATATAATTAAGCTGTTATTTTTTTTTTAAGCTGTTATTTTTAAAGGGAACTTTGTGGACAGGAAATAGGGCTGCCAATTCAAACTCAGACAGTTTGAATCCATCACCTGCTCCTTGAAAGAAAGATGGAAAAAATCCTCCTCTCCGATTTACAGCCTCTGTAAACTCACTGGAGGGCCAGTTCTGAACTGGTGACTAAAGTCTCATAATACATTATAAAAAGCAAATCTTGTTTTCCAATTTATCACACTGGAAAAAATTCTCAAGTGTGCTCAGAAAAATAGCAGACTTTTTTTTTTAAATTATTATTAAATTTTATTAGTTTCAATGAACATTCACAGGGATTCTGGGCTTTCACTCCTTCATTGCCGCACCATTCTCTCCACCCTCCTCCCCAGTTTGTTCTTCTTCCCCGCCATCTGAATGGCTGTTTTAATTTTCCAATTGCCACAGTGCTTGAGTAAGAAAGTTCCTATGATCATCACTGCTCTATCTTTGGTTTAAAAAAACAAAAACCAAGCAAAAAATACCACAAGCAAAAAGCACAAACAAGCCAAAAAACCCAGGGGAAGAGTGTAAGGGAAAGAGAGAAACCATTAAACTGAAAAGTCAGGAGGGAAAGTGTTCTAGAAGAAAAAGGACTACAGGAAATCATCATTTGTGGGGTGAAATGATTAAGCCTCCCTGCAGTGACCTTTGAAATAATTAAAAAAACAGTAACAAAATTCAAAGCAGTGTGTGACAGGCCTACAGCACAGAGCAATCATGCAATTTGAGAGACATAACAAATAAGCAATAATAACTGCACCATCAATTAAAATCATGATTTGTTCTAAGACATTTTATGGCTGTATTAGATGAAGCAGACAGTATTATATTAAATTTTTATATATAAGTATTTATACAAAGGTGCACCTGATCCAAGCCATAGTCTTTGCAATCACTTGCTATGCATCAGAGAGACTGGGTTCTATGAAGAGAAATATGGCATCAGGATTACAGGAAGACTCATCAACAATCTGCATTATGCAGATGATACAGCGCAGTTTGCTGAAACTGAGGAGGACATGAAGTGTTTGTTGGCGAAGGCCAAGGACTGGAGTCTTAACTATGGATTGAAGCTCAACAAAGAAAACAAAGATTCCCATCAGTGGCTTAACTGGCAGCATGATAGATGGTGAAGAGATTAAGATTGTTAAACAGCTTTAGTTTGCTTGGCTCCACAATCAATATTCTTGGCACCAGCAGCCAGGAAATTAAAAGATGAATTGTATTTGGAAAGTCTGTTGTCAGAGGCTTCTCCAAAGTACCGAGGAGCAAAGGTATCTGTCTGGAGGCTAAGGTATGCCTGATACAGGCCATGGTCTTTGCAATCACTTGCTATGCATCAGAGAGCTGGACAATGACTAGGGATGATAAAAGAATTGATGCCTTTGAGCTGGTGTTGGAGTACTGAATATACCATGAACTGCTAGATGAACAAACAGGTTTGTCCTGGAGAGGGTGAAACTAGGCTGCTCCTTGGAGGCAAGGATTCTGAAACTTCGTCTGACACACTTTGTTAGACATACACATTGCAAGGAGGCACCAGTCCTTGGAGAGGGACATCATGCTTGGGAGGGTGGAGGGACAGCGCAAGAGAGGAAAACCCTCAATGAGATGGACTGATTCAGTGACTAGGGTAATGGGGATAGCTGTGTCAGAGAAAGTAAGATTGGCCCTGGAAAGAACAGGGTTCAGTGCTGCTGTACACAGGGTTGCTATGAGTCGCAGGTGACTCGATGGCACATAACAATACTTCTATACAGGACAAATACATAAAATACTGGACAAATACATACAGAAATTAATCTTTCAATTTCAATCGACAGTGCTCAGAGTCTGAGGTGTTGTTGTTATGTGCCGTCGAGTTGATTGCGACTCATAGCGACCCTATATACAACAGCCCTAAACTCTGCTCTGTCCTGTGCCAATCACACTGTCTCCAACACACCCATCCCGATTACCTCAGTCACTGAATCAATCCACCTCATGGAGGGCCTTCCTCTCCTGCGCTGTCCCTCCACCCTCCCAAGCATGATGTCCCTCTCTAAGGACCGGTCCCTTCTTAAAACATGTCCAAAGTATATCAGACAAAGCCTCAGAAGTATTTTGCCAAAACCTTTTTCATATAGTTGTTTTTTTCTGCAAACATGCTCAGGGTATTATACATACCAGTCACTTTTCAGTGACAGAGCAAGTTTGCATAAGAGAATGCTTACATCTGCAAAGGGCAAAACTTCTTTCTGGTCATCTGGAATGTTAAGACTCCTTGTTTAATTTTCATACATTCAGCGAAACAAAATACAGATTTAAGTATTTTCGAATTTATCTCTAGCCAAAAGGGAGCTCTGGTGGCTTAGTGGTAGGGAGTTGCACTGCCAGCCCAGACATGCAGTTCGAGACCACCAGGGGCTCCAATGGAGAAAGGTAGGTATTCTCCTTTGCAATACTGCCTCTGAAAACCTGCTGGAGGGTCTATGAGTCAGTTCCGACTCTACAGTACATAATAAGAACATCGTAACAGCTTGGCCAATTCATTTTAAATTTGTAAATTCTAAAAAGGTAGTAAATGTCAGGCTTTGCTCTAGAGAAACTGTGGTGAGGTAGTTAGATTTGGTGATGCCTCTATATATCAATAATTTGTTATAATTATTTCTCTCTATTACATGGCAAACAATGAGTCAGATACTGGCTATATAAAACATGTTAAGACAGAGCTACAGATCATTATTTTTCATTGTTTCACTTGCTAGGTGTTTTTCTTCTTTATAAAGAGGAAGAGAGAGGAACAAACAAGATTAAAAAGAGTGAGATTTGAAGAAAGAAATGGACAGAAAAAAGGATGGTACAGAACACAAGGAAGTTGCAAGGAAATGAAGAGGAGTCTACACTGAAGAACTACTGTAGCCTTTCCTCAGCAGAGAACTGGCAAGGTAAACAGGAAATGCAGGCGCAAGGAGTCTCCCAAATCACCTCACATTTGCACAAGTGCTCACTCCCTCTTCTCTCCCAGGAGGCAGACTGCAAATATAAAAACAGTTATAAAGAAGAAGAATACAGGTTTTTTACCTGCTTGCGGTGACAAGGCTCGTCTGCAGGCTTGGCTGCCACTTGCTGTGGTTTGAATGCAAAGCAGAGATTTCGAGGGGGCAGGCAGAGGGCCCATGCTGGCTCCAAATGGAGAGAACCCTGCCCAGTGAGTAGGGCAGAGAGCAGAAGACTTTATCTGCGATGGAGGCCGGAGACCGTAAGCCTTTCAAGCCCTGTTTGAACTGGGTCACGAAGAGCCTCTGCATGGTGGCCATGTGGTTGGAGAAGTTTCGTTTTTTGGTCCAGATCCGGTAACAGCCAGGGGAACAAAGTGCTAGCAGCGTGTGAAGGCCGAGGACAGAGACACCAGCTCTGCTCTGCACTAGGGCGGTACTGCCAGAGCTGTGGAGGGGAGTGAGGGGAACTGAGGGAGCCTGGCCGCAGGCCCAACTCTGCAGGTGGGTGTCTTCCCTGAATGTGGCCGTCCCAGAACTGCCGTGTGAGAAGAAGAAAGAGAAAGTCCACTTGGGAGGCTGCGCTGAGCACCTGGGGGCCTCTCCTAAGGCAAGCCCTTCTGGGGCACAGTGCTCGGGGAAGGTCACTGAGGCCTCGGCCATGCAGTCCAAACCTGAGTTCACGTCCAAGGACATGGGGAGAATCTCAGAGCCCAACAGCAGGGATGGCATCTTGTGGCTCAAATCTACCAAGTTCAGCTTGATGGCTTCCAGAGGGTAAAGTGCCACAGGTTTGCTGCCAGGTGTCTTGTTCCACCTGCTAGCTGCCAAACAGGGATCCAGCTGCATCGTATTCGAGGAGAAGCCATCCAGGAACCTTCTATAGCGGAGCCTCTTATAACTTTTAGCCACTGGAAGGAGTTCAGAGGAGCAGCGCCAATATCTCAATTTCTGGGTCTTAGGATCTGGGGCCAGCTTCCGTGCGAGGACGGACAGCTTGCTCAGTAAGGCTGATTCTTTGGTAAGCTTTCTCAAGAGATGGCACGGAGCAGCCCACTGCTTTGGTATATGGTGAGTTAAGCTCCCGGGCACAATGGGCTCGGAAGCCACTTGGGCAGGGGGAGGCAGAGAAGATGAATGGAGAAGTCTGGGCTCTTTTGTGGGAATGGATTCTCTGGAACTCTTTAAAAGGGTGGTGTTTCGGATTTTCCCCAGTTTTCTGCCCACCTTTGCTAGATCCTGATAGGAAGTCCTTTTACATGTTCGAGGTGGTTGCTTCTTTAAGGGAAGCACTTGTTTCCGATGTGAAGTGTTCCCAAAGGCACCACGTAGCTCATCACACCTGGCAGAGTGGGGATCTTGTGCTTTCTGAGGGGCGCCAGGAAGCCTGGGCCCTGGGGACAATTCCAGGTCCTTCTTCAGTGGATGATGGCCGCTTTCTACCTTTCCGTCTTTCAGCTTTTGAGACTCTGCAGTAGTATCGCCCCTGGTCAGCTTGGCAAGGGGGGTTTCCTTCATTACAGTGGGCTTATGTTCTTCTTCTTTAGGGGGGTTCTTTTTTAGTACCTCATCAGACAAGCTATCAAGCGATGTGCACTGTTCCAACACAGCATGTGCTCTTTTTTGTTTTTTATGTCTCTCTTCCTTCTGCAACAGGTTATCCAAAGCCTGGTTGTGCTGTTTCTCAGCAAAACCAACCATCCTGTCACCTATAAAGTGGGTGTGAGAAATCTTGCTCGTATCATCACTACCATCTTCTCTAGGCATCCCGTCTTCGGACTCCCCCCCGCAAGTTAAGTGATCCAGTGGTTCCCCCTGGTGTTCTCGGATTTCATTACTTTTCACTTCAGTTTCTTCCAGTGTCACAGGCAGATGTCTGTCATCAGAGTAACAAACTCTTGGCCTGTCACTTTTTACACATACACTGGCTCCTTCACCAGGACTACTCCTCCCCCCTGGAGGGTCTTCCTTTTTCTCAGGCAGAACTGTGAAAGCTTTTACACCTTCACAAAGTATCTCACCATCTTTTGGTTTGAAACGATTTCTTAGCTTAGTTGCGCCACCCAGTGCATTATTAACATCAGCTGCTGAGTTTTTTCGAGCAGACAGATACGAAGGCATTCTCTCAGAGAAGCAGCTCCTTAGGTGAACAGAGTTCTCCTCTTGGCAACTAGAAGACACTGACGCTCTTGAAGAAATTTCCAAAGCATTTCCCTTGTTGAGCTCAGACTCTTGACTTAGTCCTTCACCCATCACTGCTGGTTCTCTCTGCAATGCTCCGTTAACTTGCTGATTATGATGAACAGAATTCAAAGACACATTTCCTGGAGCCAAGGTTCCGGCATTTGGCGCACACCTGGCATCGGCCTCTGCCTCAAGGGCACATGAGTGTCTATACAATTCTACTTCACAGCTTTCTAAAGATCTGCACACTTTCTCTTCACATGATTTTTTCTTAACAAGAGATTCTACTGTCGAGGCAGAGGCACCAGGGAAATCAGGGTCCTGGTCAACAGCAGATGCCTTTCTGTCCAGGACTCCTTCTCCAGGCTCATCACCACAGTCTGTGGAGACAGTGTCTACCAGGCTGCTTGCAGAGTCTTTATAATGCAAATGACTCTCAAAGGATCTTTTAAAACCCTCTTTCTTTGGACTCCCGCAGGAAGGCAGGTGATTACCGCCTAAATGAGGCACCAAGTCCTTTTGGTCGTAGCTCTGGTCTCTGTCCGACTCTGAGATGATTTCCTTCTGCTCACTATCTTGTGTCTGTTTAGCTGCTTTTTCTTCATTTCTCCACCTATCTGGTCTGTTGTGCTTTCTCCAGCAGTTGATGGCTTCACCTGCTCTCTGAGTCTGACTTTCTTCTGCTTGGTTCACGTTTTTACAATAGGAGGATGTAAGATTAGGAGACTGGTCCAACAGTTTTTCAGGACTTGGAATGTTTGCAGACTGGTTTAGTCCCTGTGGAACACAATCAGAGACACTGTCTTTACAAAACACAGTGTCTCTGGAGGAATCTTGTCCCCTTCCTTCCAGGTGTTGCTCACTGTGTTTGATGTGACTGGTGGTACAAGTGACTGCATCTGGGGCCCCATTACTTAGCATGTCTACTGTTGTTTCCTCTCTGATCCAACCTTGGAGGTGATCTTCAGTGTCTCTCCTGTCAAGTTCATTTCCCTCCAGGGTCTCATTCCCTTCATGAACACAATTCTCCACTGAGTTTTTTGTTCCTTGGGAGCGGTGATCACTTTTCTGAAATGTGTCTTCACATTTTATCAAAGGATTTTCTCCTTCCAGGATGGTGGTGCCAGACTCAACACGAGTACAGGCAGACAGCAGGCCCTCTGACGTATTTTTATTTACACAATGGCAGCCACTTTTATTCTGAGATTGAACATTTCGACATTTTGTGGCAGAGATCTCTTGAGGAAATGTGGCTGTTTTCTTCTTGGAATGTAGTAGATCTTCTGTTCCAGAACCTGTCACCCTCTTTTTAAGTTCTGGGATTCCTGGGTTGATGTTTAAGGTGGAAGTGTTGGAAGAGGTGCCCCCGGTTTTACGACCTGATGGAGATATGACTTTCATGTCAGTCTTAATGGGAATGATTTGGGTACCAGCAGTGTTGTCTGCTCCAGGCTCCAATGGACAGAAATGGCTCTCCTCAAAGTCCTCACTTGCTGTTCCCAGGGTTGCTTTGTTTATATTTTGTAGGGAGTCAGCTGGCAACTTCACATGGTCTTGAGAATTAAGGGACACTTGTTGATTTAAAACACATTCACTTTCTCCTTTGTTTACAGCCACTGCATCAGTAGAAGAAAGTTCACTAAGCTCACAATCAATGCTCTGCTCCCCTCCATGTGGAATATCTTTATTTGAGGTTTGTTGAGTTTTATCTGAATCAGATGTAGATTCAAGCTCCGGAACAGTAATACTCCTGGGTTCTGACATCTCATTTGCTGGACTCATCAGACTCTCTGGCATTATAGTCACAATGGATTGAGAGTCTTTATTGTAAATCTTTTCCCTTAACACAGTGGGATCTCCTGTGGCTGCATGTTCTGGCTCTTCACCCTGCATCAATGAGGAAAAATGGCATTGTTCATCGTGTCTGCCTAGATGGCTAACATGAGCAGAAGTTTCTCTCTGGTCCTCATGGGTGATCAAGCTTCCTTCAATGTCTGAAGTGATTTTCAAATAATTCTCTTTTAATTTTACTCCCGTGCCTGCAGTCAAACAACTGGTCATTAATGAGCTAGAGTTCACTCTGTGGATACTGCCTGGAATGGAACAGTTACTAGGAGTATTTTCTGTTACAGAATCACCAGAACAGTCAGAATGATGCCCATTAACATCCTCTTCTGCTTGTGCAGGATTAACAGAAGACTGCAGCCCCTTTTCATTCTTAGGGTTCCAAAGCGGGTCTTCATTTTTCTCTCTGGATGCCAAGTTCTTGCTCTGATCATCAAAACAAGAAGTCGCTATCTTTTCAGTGGATCCCTCCATCAAGCCATTATCCTTCTGACCACATTCTTCTAGAGATGTTGTTCTGGAGTCTACATCGGGTCCGCTGGATGTGCAAGATGAAATTTTATCATGTTTGTCCAAGAGTTCTATGACAACTACACTTTTCATGGACACGGGGCTGCCGCGTGCAGAACTGTGTGTTTCATCATGGTGGCTGAGAACGTGCTGGTGATTGTCATCTGCTTCACAGACAAGGTTTAATCTATACAACGGCTCCTTCCCATTGTCCACTTTGGAAATGGCACTGTTCCCTGGTAATAATGACAATGAAGAAGGACAAGGTTTTAATTCTTCACATTCTTTTTCTTTACAAGTTGCTTCTGTTAATCCAGAGTCCACAACTGTTACAGGCTCTATGGAAACTAACGGGCTGGTGTTGGAAACCTCACCACTGGCCATGATTCTGTCTACTTCTGGGTATTCGCTGCACCCAGTGGAGAGATCTTTACTCACATTGCCATGCCCGTGTCCTTCATTAGTATCCATCTTGGCCTCATTGACCTTCATACCTTGTACTTTTTCAGGAGACTGGAGCAGAGTTTCCATTGTAATCTGTGTACTTCCTAATGTACAAGAGAAAGAAACAAAAATCAGTACATGCAGCAAACACACAAATGAAAAAGGTGTTCTACCACCATGAATGGAGTCATGCAACCAAGAGCAGCAGCAACAACAATAACAACAAACCACTCAAAAAGAGAACTGCAGAGTTAGTGTTCTATGTCACAGTTTTGCTGCAAAATATACCAAGAGTCAAAAAATCATACCTGGAAAAAAATAAAAAAAATAAAAAATCATACCCGGGAAGGGCATGTTAATTTCAAACAAGTGCCTTTCTCTAAATGTTACTTACTTGGTTTTCATTAGACAAAATGCTGGTCAACTAAACACAGTATGCAGATATATGTCTAACTTGGAAACTTAAGAAATTTCCATCCCACAGTAGAGCGGAGAGGAAGAAGGTAGAAGCATGGTGGCTGGATACAAGCTGCTCTACCCTCCCCTTCCCCACTGCTGTCACTTGCCAGAAGCCTTCGACAATGCGTGTTAGTTACAAGCCCACAGTCCACCAGCTCTCCTTTAGCAGCTGATGCCAACCCGAGGAGTAGGTCCTCCCACCCACCAGCCTGCAGTCCGGACCACGGAGAGCATGAAGCTGAAGATCCCTTTCGTCCCACAGTGAAAAGCAGCAGTCTATAAAATAAGAGATTCAGGCAATTTTACCTGGATTGTTTTTAGGCTTGGATTCTTCTGCTATGAAAAGAAAGCTACCTATACAGAAACAACAACAATACTACAGAACCACGGACTAGCTCACATAACATGCAGCAGACTGAAGCCAACTTTTAAAACCAAACTTTCAGCAATAACTTAGACCCTTATCCTCGATTAGTGTCAATAATCCACTTCAAAATATAACACACTTCCCTTTTCCCACTGACTTAAGTTTACTGATGATACAGTTGAAGGAGAAAGTCTTATTTATCCATGCTCTAGGAATACTACTTTTATTACTGTACACATTAAGGACACTGAAGGAAGTAGACTGAAATACAAAGATGCAATGCTTACTGTTCAGAGAGCTTTTAAAAAAAATTTTAAAATAAAATTTTTATTTTATACTGGTTTACTTACTGAGTGTGTATACATTGTTTTTCACACCAGATCCTTCCCATTTCTTGTACCTGCCCTTCCCTCCACCCATCATATTGTGTGACCCTATGGTTGGTCACCCTCTAGCCATCCTCATCCCTCTGCTCCCCCCTTGGAGCCATGAGAGCTTTTGTGTTAAGCCCAATGTTGGATTTGTCCATCAACTAAAGGAATATGAAGGCATCCATTTACTAGAAGTAACAAGACAGAGGACATCAGTACTGCAAGTTAAGTTCACCCTGGTATACTATGGGCAATTTACAGAAAACACATGAAGAAGAGTTCTGAAATATTGAAGTAGTGAATGCATAGAATGGCTGATTCAAGACCATTACTGCAGAGAACGTGAATTTCTAGTTGAGAAGGAGAAAACAGTACAGACTATAATATAATATGTGACATAAATACAAGTTGTTTCTTTTCAACTATATGTGGTATTGAGGAACATGAAAGCCAGCATACTGTTAATCTCATTGTGGTCTAATATTCTACCGTGTGATTAGGTTCTTTGGTGGAGTAAAGCTTTGTACTCAGTGTTCAAAAAATACTAGCTGGTAAAGTGTCGTTGTTGTGTACTGCAGAGGACTCGAACCACTCGCATTCTATTCTTTGTGAGGTAGGGAGTGAGGGGTCTGGACTTCATACGAGTTTAGAAGTTATGCGAGAAAATGACACACACATTCTCTTGAAGGCAACAGAAGCGTTCTAATCATCTCATTACCATAATAATTTAAGAGAATTAGAAGAACTTATCTGCCATCTTAAATCACAAAGTTGGAATGTATCTCGTATTTCATCTTCTTAGAAAGGAGATAAGCACTTATATGATGGATTTAAAAAAAAAATGTTATTTAAAATAACTAGTTTGTAGATTAAACTTTCTCCTGAATTAACTCAATGTTAATTCAGTAAAAACACTTCATTTCAGATTCACATAGTGCATCTGATGTGCTCAAATAGGACATTATCAAATTATTATTAAAAAAATTTTTTAATCAGAAAAAGTAACTTTCTAGGGTTTTTTAATGCCACAGGGAGATCTAGTGGCCTAGTGAGTAAGGCATTGTGTTGCCGAGCCAAGGCAGAGAGTTCAAAGCTGCTCTGAAAGAGAAAAATGGGCAGTCTCATCCCATGTGATTTGAAGCCTCTGAAAACCTACTGGCAGGGCCAGCTATGTGTCTGTTCCAACTTGACAGCAAGGAATTTTTTAATTTTATCCATCGATAGCTAACGGGGGAAAAGAAAGTCACTCAAAATTTTCAAGGTTACATGTTAGGTCCCCCCCTCATTTGGAACTGCCATACTTCACAGTTCCAGCATGTATTTTAAACTTGGTAACATGCAATTGTAACTAAGCACAAAACAAAAAATTATTCTGGAAGAGAAATAACCCAGCTTCTATTTACCTCTCTTTAGGGAATTTAATTGCTTTTAACAAATATTTAGATTTAGCTAAAATGCATTATGTGTGCACAGAAATGTCACAATGCAAAATGATGCACAAAGTATTAAAATGATTTAGTGAAAAACAGTAGAATTTAAATATGACAGGTTATATTAGTTATTAGATAAAAACTATTATTACTTGAGTTTAGGTAAGTCATATATATAAAAGTACTCTTTGGAAAAGAAAATTCAGACAAAACCAAACAGAAAAGAGATTATTCTGTAAATGGAGTTTCTGGCGTAACCCGATTACTTGCAATAACAAGATTGGTCATGAGTTGGTAATTACTGAAGGTGAATGTTGTTAAGTATGTGGGAACTTAGTATATTCTTCTTTACCCTTTTGAATAAGTTTGAAATTTTCCATGAGGAAATATGGAAAAAAACCCTCAAACTTCTCTAAGCTGATTAGAAATGCCATTCATAAAGGGTTTAGATGCACTATAAAGAAGCTCTCCAAACTTGTTTACACAAAATGGAAAAACATTTCCATTTCTCCTCCACTTTAAACCCTTTTAAAACCAAATTATTTTCTGTTCTGAATTTTTCTTCCAAGATATGTGATTTCAGCTATGAAATGGGTTTTGAATGTAATGGGAAATTATTTTCTTGCCACATCAGGATGGATGGTGAAAAGACTGAGATTGTTCACAGCTTTAGTTTCCTTGGCTTCACAGTCAACACTCTTGACACCAGCAGCCGGGAAATGAAAAGATGTATTGCAATGGGAAAGTCTTCTGTTAGGGATCTTTCCAAAGTACTGAAGAGCAATGGTGTCATTCTGAAGACTAAGGTGCATCTGATACAGGCCATGGTCTTTGCAAACACTTGTTATGCGTCAGAGAGTTGGACAATGACTAGGGAGGATAGAAGGAGAATTGATGCCTTTGAGCTGTGGTGCTGGAGTATTGAATGTACGATGGACTGCTAAGAAAACAAACAGGCTCATCCTGGAGAGGGTTAAACCAGGCAGCTCCTTGGAGGCAAGGATTCTGAGGCTCATCTGACATACTTCATCTGACATGTTGTAAGGAGGGACCAGTCCTTGGAGAGGGACATCATGCTTGGGAGGGTGGAGGGACAGCACAGGGAGGAAGTCCCTCTTTGAGGTGGAATGATTCAGTGACTGGGGTAATCGGGATAGGTGTATTGGAAACAGTGCGACTGGCACAGGACAGAGCAGAGTTTAGGGGTGTTGTACATAGGGTTGCTATGAGTCACAAGCGACTCAACGGCATATAACAATAACAACAACAATATGATTTTGATACAATTAATGGGATTAATTGTATATTAATTGTATATGGGATTAATTAATCTTGATACAATTAATATCCTGAAGGGGTGCTGGGGTTGGTGGGATGAGGTTTCTTTCTTCAAATTCATATAGTTATTACAAACTCCTATCAAATGAAAGCACACGTTAAAAGTGGGACTATCAAAACAACTATGAGATATCATCTCACCCCGGTAAGAATAGCAAAATTTAACAGAACAGCAAGCAACAAATGCTGGCGAGGTTGCGGAGAACCTGGAATCCTTATTCATTGGTGGTGGGAGTGTAAAATGGTGCAACCACTGTGGAAGACGTTATGGCGCTTTCTCAAAAAGTTGCAAATAGAGATACCAGTCAACCCAGCAATTCCACTACTGGGAATATACCCCAAAGAGACCATAACTGACATCTAAGCAGATATACGCACACCCATGTTTATCGCGGCTTTGTTCACAATAGCATGGAGCTGGAAACAACCTAAGTGCCCAACAACAAATGAATGGATAGAGAAGCTGTGGTATAGTCACACAATGGAATACTATGCTGCATTGAAAAACAAGGAACTCATGCAATATTATTCAAAATGGGTGACCCTGGAGGACACCATGCTGAGTGAAGTATCTCAGTCATAAAAGGACAAATACTGCATGGTACCACTGTTGTAAAGCAGGACTGACCTCGGGGTTGGGAGGAGACTGAGAAGGATGGGTTCAATCATTTATACTGCACTGAAACAGATGAGGGAGAAAACTGTTTAAGAGGGAAAATTATTAGGTATTTTTGTCATGACAGGAGTCCAGAGTGAAGACTATATAGTGGAGTGGACCTGGGGGAAGAGATTGTAAAACAATGAAAAGAATTTTTCTTTTACTTTTCCAAGAGGGTAGTATACTAGGGCAAGGGTTGGGAAGGGAGAAAAGTGCAACAATGAATGAACGGAAATCCAAAGTCTCTGTAACTTTTCATTGAAACTAATAATAAATGGGGGCGGGGGAGGAAGGTCGGACTAGAGCTTCCCTCTAAACCCAGGAGACATAAAATGTTATATGGGCTGATACATCTTCAAGGATATGAACATGTACGGCCAAGCACAATCAATAAGAGTGCATCTAAATTCCAAAATCAATCTCCATAATAGTCTATGTGTTTCCTACTGCCAAAGGGGCCCTTTAGAGTAGTGAGAG